CCCCTCTTCCTCGCCCTCCTCCCTGCCGGCCATGAACTTCCAGGGCGGGCCTGGGCAGATCCCCAGGCAGCCGGCGCCGCAGCAGAGCCATCCACTCTATAGTTTGAGTGGAAATGTTGGGGGGGTCGTCTTATACGGCCAGTTGCCTTGTACGCCGGCAAATACGGTACATAAAACATTGAGTACATTAAAGATAACTGTATTAAAGGGAAAAAATGGCAGTCAAAATAAATATAATCTTTTCACTTGAGAACCAACCTGAGGCAATCTCGTGTTGAATATAACGATCCTCAGACAGTCTCTTAATTATAACCAACCTTGGGTAGTCTCTTAATTTTGTTTAGAAGATAACTATGATTTTCTAACTCTAATCTGCTAGATTTAGATATAATGGCAAATAGTGACAACATTCTCCCAACACAATAAGCAAATCTTGTTTTCTTCTGGAAAATCTGCATGCTAGCACATAAGTTCTCTTCCATTGCACTTTGCTCCTCTCCGCTAGCACGTTAAACACACAAAAAAGGCGTTGTTTAGCATGTTGTCCTAACCAGGAGTCCTGTTTTCTTATCTATTTATTTATTTATTTATTTATTTATTCATTCATTCATTCATTCATTCATTCATTCATTCATTCATTCATTCATTCCATTTATACCCTGCCTATCTGGTCATATTGATTGAGAACAAGGATGTGTCCGTAGTTTAGAAATCCTGCCTCTTAAAGAGATTAACAAATCAGGAGTTTGTTTGGAAGAGGTCAAATCCATTTTGTTTTACCGGCTGAGGGGGCATCAAAGTATGAGTAAATAGGTTTGTATATTCTAGCATATAGCTTCTTCACAGTTAAGTCAGGTTTTTCTGGAATCTTCCCTTTCTTATGTGTAACCATGTCTCAATAGTCTAAGCCATGGTTTGGGTACTATTATGAAGAACTAAACTGGATGTTTGTTTACCCAGTTTGAAAAATACTGAATGAAAATAACTTCTGGTTTCCCTTTCTCTTTTTAATGTGGTAAACAAACTGAAAGATATAGTCTAATGAACTTAATATTTTAATTTGTCTTTTATTTTACCTGTATTTCATATATAATTTTAAATTGTGCAATACTCTGATATAAATAAAGATCCCCACTGATTCAGTAGGCCTACGTACTGCAGCTTACTACACTAAGCAACAGGTTTTCAGCCACTATTTCATTTCTATTCTGTGCAAACTATTAAACATCATTAAAAAAGAAACACACATTCCCAGAAATTTTTAACCCTCACCTTGAGTTTTGCTGTGTCTTCTGCATATATGTAGTTCAAATAAAATTACTGCATAACACAAAATGCAATCTAAAATGCATTCAAAATTACAAATGCTTTTCTTTCACATTTTATCATACGTTAAAATAACTGCAGGTTTACATAAATATTAGAGATAGTGAATTCTTGTATGTGCAAATATGAGTCTACATTTAGTTCTGCCTTTTCTTTCTCTTTTTAATGTTGCAACAAGCAACTGTTTCTCCATTTTCTCTTACAAATAATCCCACAAGTGCAGACCTTACTTCCTTGTAAAATATTTTGGTTCAATAATTAGCTCAATTGGTGAGACAGGAAGTTCCTAAACATTAGCTGGAGAGGCTACAACAGTATTTCTCAGGCAAGACTAGGTATCAAATATATTATTTCAATTTAACTTTTCATCCTGAATTCTCTACAAGCCAAGACACATCTTCTTGCTCATATGACGATACAACTGAGAAACAATAGACAAAAATATATAAGATCATTTATTTACTTTTCTCACCAGAAGGATATCAACATTTTTAAAACACAAGAGTGATGAGAATGATTTCAGTTGCACTACAGTTATATTCAAATCCATGCACAAGTTTCAAATTTAGTTCACTTACTCAGTTCATTTGACTAACTCTCTCCCCCCTTATTTCATAAACCATAAATCAATTAGTGAAACCACCACAATGTTATTATATTCTAAATTTGAAAGAGACAAAGATATAAAGTCAAAATAAGATGATATAGACAAATCAATTCAGTGTTTCTGGCCTTGACAAAGTACAAGACGACTCTAGTCTTCTCAAGACACATCATAGGCCTCAACATTTATATCATTGGATGAATAAGAGAAGAATGTGGAATAGGACACATGTTTTCTCTCTACCTATACATGTATAAATAATTCCCCCTACGTAGTTGTTTTTATCAAGTATTCCTTCCTTCCAATTTCAGAATATTGCTCAGCATAGTTTAGCAGTGAGGGAAGCATCCGTTTTGACAGTTCATTAGTAAAGACACTTTTTCCTTTCATCTTTATCATTAGGAGAAAAAGTAATTAACAATAATAATCATCATCTTTTGATCTATTTAATTAGTGTAATGTACAAATGTACAGCTTCTGCCTACATGCCTCTTTTTGCATGGTACAAATAAGTGTATACGCCCAAGGCAGTTACTGTGTTAAGTTTACTGAAGCTTGGCCACAATACAAGATACCATGTATTGATGACTCATGGCCCAATGGATAGTCAGTTCAGAATGATGCACTCCGTGCAATACCAGTCAGACCACAGGCTGTCCCTAACAAATACCATAATACCATGTACTACTCTGATAGCACATAATACCAAAGGAACACAGCTACGAGCTTCAATTTCAGTTAAGGACAACTGACAGAAAACAGTACAACAGCAAACTGCTACAAAGCCTTACAACAAAGCAAGACCGTGGGGCCACATATTGCTCCCAAGTCGACATGGGGACGAATATAAAAATGAATCAGGATATTCGTTAAATATCCCTGATTTGTCATATATTTGTTGCATCATATTCTTGGGGTCCAGAGACCCCAGCGAATATGAAGCAACGAATATAACCCTTTTATATTCGTCCCTTCGTTCCCTATCTGCTTATGCCCCCACGGATCAGTTGCTCCTCAGGGGCATAAGCAGAGAGGGGTTTTGCCTTTGTGCGGCTTGCGAAAGCCTGCCCGAAGGGAATCCCATCCCTGGGGCTGGGAGATGGCTTGGTTCCCCTTTCCTCCTCTTCCTATGCCCACGCGGCATAAGATGAGAAGGGAAGGGATCAAAGGAATTCCCCAGCTGCTGTGGGATCACTTCGATCCCTGCTTCCCCTCTTCTTGCTAAGCCCCATGGGAAATAGATAGAGGAGGAAATGCAGGGATAAACAATAAAGCTTTAATAGTAATTCTGAAGTTTTAATCTTAGCTTAATTATCAGTCTTATACCCTCTAACTGTTTATTATGCAAGCTTACCTCAAACTATTACTACTATTTAGCTATTCCTCCTTAGCTAACTTGAAATATTTCCAGCCTTATATTAATACTTCCCTAGTCTAATTTCTTTCCCTTCCCCCCTCCTTACTTAAAAGGACCTCTTTTTATGTGGTAGACCAGTGGCTCCTAACCTTGGATTTCCTAACTCATGTGGTAGACCAGTGGCTCCTAACCTTGGGTTCCCTAACTGTTCTTGAACTTCAGCTCCCAGAAATTCTGAGCAGTGCAGCTAGTGGTAAAGACTTCTGGGAGGTTTAGTCCCAAAACACCTGGGGACGAATGCTTGGGACCCACTGTGACAGACTATACATTGTGAAGAACTTTAGTTTACCAGTTCTTATCCTTTTCTCCTTCCTACCTTTCTCTTTAAAAACAAACAAATCCTGCTATTCTTCTCTCTGTAAAGAATTACTAACAATCAGTTCTTCACTCTAATAGTCCCACCACACTTATCTATTAAAATATGTTAACCAAACTCGATTATGTTCACATTAAATCTTCTTAGATCTTCCTCATAATGATATTCAAATCACATCTTTTCAAAGTCTCAGATCTTTCTCTTCTTTCTCAGGTAGTCCCAAACTACCTAAGCATCTTTAAAGTTCAGCTGTTTCTCTCTCTGTGTTCAAAGACCCAGGAGATGTTCCTTCTTGTTTATATCTCTGTTGTGCTCCTTGTATTTTTTCATTCAACTCAGTAGATTGATTGAGTAGTTGATTCTCTAGTTAGGCTCACTCTTGTTCCTGGTGTTAATCATGCATCAAGCCTCATTTATGGAGAACATTTAAACCTCCCTCAACCGATATTATCTTACCATTTCCCCAGCATAGAAAACTTTCAGAAAAACTGGGTACCCCAAGAAATATTTTATATTGTATTTTACAAGAATGATAGTTATGAGCTTCATACTTCTTCTCCAGACCACTATTTGAAAGCAGAGATCAGCATACACCTGGACAGGTGCTCTATTATAAAACAGCTGGCATATTTCTGACAGATTTCATGAATATCTCTTTCTTGCAAAAATTAGCAAACCAACAAGGGTAGACGTTCGTATAGCTGAACAGCTGTTTCTAAATGCTCAAAAGCAGGATGGGAAAAATATAGCCCTGATTGCAACTGGCTATATTTGAATGATCTTGCAAACTGCAATAAATATTGCCTGCTACTTCAGAAGATGAAGGTGTTTACTTTGTAGAAGTACAGAGAAGGGAACCATCAGCCCTCCAAATGTTAAACTATTATTTCCATCATGCCTCGCCACTAGACTAGCCAGAGCTGAAGGAAACTTGAATTCAACAACATATAGACAGCCATAGGTTCCCAAGCCTTGACAGAGTAGAAGTCAGAGGGAGCGAGAGCAGTGAATGTACTTAGCCCCACAGGGTGCCCTCTCCTGTCAGAGATGGGAGTAGGGTTACTACTCACTTCATATGAACAATTAAAATTTATGCAGCAGTATAACACGGGAAGTTTTCTCATGCTTTACTTTTCTTAATGCTTTCATAATAACTGCTACTAAATTTTGGACTCCATATCTGTTTTATGTCTCTATTATGTACATTCATATGTGATGCAGTAGATGTAGATGCAATGTAGACATCGAGACAGAAAAGCAATGGGTGAGAAAAAAACCTCCTTTGAACACAACACCAACAAACAAAAATACTACAGAAACAGAGTAAATTACATTACCACTTTGAGTAGGAAGAGGATACAGAGGACTCCATTGTTCACCTAGAGCACCTGCTAATCTTAACTTGGATTGTGGAGAAAGTTGAGATGGACTAGGAACCAAGGAAGTGGAGCTGGCCTATAAAACAAAAAGTGAGCTTTTACTTTCTTAGCTGAAATACAGGAAATGAAATACAAAACATTGACCAACAGCAAAATGATAGTTACATTTGTGCAGCAGTAGATACCGCTTGAAAACATGAACATAAACTTTAAACAGCTTCATTTTTAACAGACATATAGGAGACACTAAAAACTACAGTACTTGAAAAGTCAATAAATTGTAAGAAATTCCCGACTTCATCTTATTTTCTAGAGGAACATAGAAAGACTTCCTTTTGGCATCCTTTTTGTTTTAATTGTTACAACAACATTATGGAATCCAAGCTGCAAAGCAATACGTAAATGTCTCTCTCCATTTACTGTGTTCAAAAAGGCCTTTGTGTTACTATGCACATAACATTTTTTTTCTGACATAGTTTCACTTAGATTTAAGATGTCCCCTTAAAACTTTGGTTGTTTTCCTCTCCAAAAGGTAACATCCAATCAACAGAACTAGGAAATGGAACCACCACCACCCGGACTCTCTAGAGCACATTTTTGGAGTCAGAGGAGAAAAAAAAATGTAGAGGTGCAAATAGTTTTCCTTGTGCAAAATTAAATTCGACACAGAGCCATTAATTCATTTTCTAGTAAATAGTTTTCACATGAAAATAATTTCAGTTGCATTAAAGGGATAAATAACTGACCATTGGAGATGGGCATGAATAGATGAACAGGGTCAGATGAACAGGTGTTCAGTGATTCCCAGCCCCGTGTCCTCCAACGGGCACCCTCTCAGATGCAGTGCCTCAGCTTCCCTGCCCTGCCTCCTCCAGGCGCTGCCTCTGAGTGGGCAACCACGGAGGAGATGGGGATGGAACTGCCATACACCTGTCTGCCTGAAAGATGAACTGTCATGAACCACCAAACCAGTGGTTTGTGCCCATCTCTACTGACCA